TCGGGGTCACATTATCATTTATCACCCGATAATAGCTGCATGCTGGATTATCGTGAACTAGATGATCCGATTGCTCTCGTCCCAGCTGCTGGAAAACCGTTGTATGTTGTGGGACATGGGGATGTGATCCTTCGTATCGAGTCCTCCAAATCCCTTCATGCGTACAGACAAGGAAGGAAGGGTGGGCCGGTGACCATTAGGATTAAGGGAGTTTTCTATGTGCCAGAGTTTAATTTCCGGCTCATCTCCCTGAGGCAGCTTGCGGCAAAGGGGGCCGGGTTTGAGGCAAACTGCAAGACGACCGTCTATACAGTGCGCGCTGAGGAAATTATTCCACGTAGGCAAAGCGTTCCTATTGCTGCAACCATGCCTACTAAGGATCGCGCCAAACTGTGGCATTCACGGTTAGGTCACCTGAGCTACTTTAACGTGGCGCGACTGGTTGAAGAGAACATGGCTAAAGGTATTGATGTCTCAGCGAGTCGTCTGAGGGATTTAGGTTCATCCCTCTGCACGGAGTGCGTGATGGCCAATCACCCACGCAAACCGTTTCCTGAGTCAAATTCACGCGCAAAAGGGTGTTTAGAGTTGGTCCATATGGACCTCTGTGGTCCAATGTCGGTAGAGTCGCAGGGAGGGAGCCAGTACATTGCTACCTTCCTTGATGACTATTCGGGCCTATCTGCTGTGTGTTTTCTGAAAAGCAAGAAGGACATGGTTGCATCAGTCCAGCAAACTTTGAACGTGCTGGAAAGGCAGTCAGGGGAGAAGGTGAAAGAAGTACGTACTGATAGGGGTCGTGAGTATTTAAAACAAAGAGCTTAGTAGCTATTTTGCGAGTAAGGGCATAGAACACCAAAAGTCTGCTCCTTACACCCCACAACAAAATGGGCTTGCAGAGCAGCTGAACAGGACACTGCTGCAAAAGGCACGTGCAATGCTGATAGAGTCCAAGTTGCCTACGAGTATGTGGTCTTTTGCTGTGAGCACCGCAAATTATTTGCGGAATCGCTCACCAGTTCGGGGCATGGAGGGTACGCCGGTATTTCAAATCTACGTGTGTTTGGTTGCACTGCGTACATGAAGGTACCCGACAGTGAACGCACCAAGTTAGATGCGATGTCTATTAAGGGAGTATTTGTAGGCTATGAGGGGGCATATGCATACCAAGTAATGCTGTCAGATGGAAGCGTGAAAGTTGCTCGTGATGTTCGCTTTGATGAGGGAAGTTTTGGCTTGGAGGGTAAGCATAAACCTAAGCAGTATGCCTTGGCAGACGCGTGGGATGAGGAGGACGAGTCACCTCCTCTGCTTGATGAGGGGGATGAAATGCCTCCTTAGCTTGATGAGGATTATGAAGAAGAGGATGAGGATGGAAGTGATGACGAAGATTATGAAGAGGATGAGGAGCACGTGGGAGCCTTGCCAGGGGAAGAATTGAGCGATGGAAATTTTGGCTCTGGCGTACCTGGCTATTTCTCTGCTTCCGGCTCTGTCTTGAATGATGGGAGCTCTGGCTCCGGTGGGGATGAGGTGGCCCCCGGCGGATTGTATCTTGAGAGGTCAGCTCGCGCGAATAGGGGAGTCCCAAGGGAACGACTGAATATGGCTGTCATTAAAGAGGAGCCGTCAATTCCGAGCACGTTTGAGGAGGCGATGAGGTCGCCAATGGCATCGATGTTGTTGTTGTTGTTGTTACATGGTCGTGGGTGCGTTCCCCGTACCTGCAAACCACCCTAGTACGAGCCGAGGGCTCAAGGGCTGCCAAATCGCCTATAAGCACCATCCTACCTCGCACTTCCAACGAAACAAGTAATGAAGTATACTAACGACCAAAGGGAACGATAGAGTTGCGGTGAGACCATATACGTTCCAGCATTCTTGCCAGGCGTTCAGGTTCCCACTTCATAGCGTCCTTCATATGTTCGAAGCGTGGAAAGCCCATATCAGATCTGATTCCGTCGTAAACCGGACAGTCCAGCAAAATGTGTTTCTCATCCTCGATGTGGCTATCAGTGCCGCAGCAGGGGCATACTCGCTCCTCCCTAGGTATATAACGCCGTCCCTTACGCGCTCTGTTAGCCGCCAGTGCCCAACAGCAAAGCCTAAACTGCATAAGCTTGCAATTCGCCGAACGTGGGATAAACATTGTGATGTGCGGGAGCACCTCCTTCCTGCCCGCTTGCTCGGCCGCCAGCCCCATCCAATGCTTATACTTCGCCATGTGAATTCCTGGTTGTTTGCCGTCTGACGGATACACGTCAGGCTGGACATCTAAACGTGTATGCTTCCAACCACTCACTAATCGGTCCTTGAACTCCGAAATCACACCTTCTGGCATTGGCTTGTTCATCAGCCACTCCACTCGTTCGTCTACCTCGTGTAGCCCTTGCGGGGCCTCTTTCCATACATCGTGCCCCAAAAAACATAGAAAACGGAGGAGTAGTGTCCCCCATCCGGGTCCTTCGGGGTTGGAGAGGGATTCTGCGACCTCCTGTCGCAAAACTTGGTATGCCACAGACCCACGCTGTAAACGGACATGGTTCCAAAACCTCACAACCTGCTTGAGAACGTGGTAGTGTAGGGGTAGCTGCGATAGCTCTGCGAACAAGAGGCGGTGTGTTGGTCTGGCAGCTCCTACAATTTGCCGCATGAAAGATATCTGAAGCTGCACTGCCCTGTCCTTTAGGCACGCCTCGAAGGGCCCCTCTGCAAGGTTATTCGCATCACTCCGCTTCCTGAGCCTGTCCAAGACCTCAGCTAGCATAAACGGCCCCCACACTTGACAACCATACAACAGTATTGCTCGTACCTGGGTATCGAAACACCTCATCCTCACATCTGGGGCGAACAACTTCAGCTTATCTAATTTTGCACTCAACGCGAACATAGCTGCTCTAGCTGTGTCATACAACTGCTGGCGGCAGGCCCATCGATGTGGAAGCAAGTGATGGACGAAGAAATGGCGTCATTGCGTGCGAACCGTGTCTGGCGCTGGATTTTCCTCCGTAAGGTGTTCGTGCGTTACCTGTGAAGTGGGTCTACACCCAGAAGCGCGACGCGAATGGTGAAATCGTGCGCTATAAGGCGCGTTTGGTTGCCAAAGGTTTTGCCCAGGTGGATGGTAGGGATTTTGATGAGGTCTTTGCACCGGTCAGCAAAAACACTACTTTCCGCACACTATTGTCTGTGGTGGCAGTCGATGATCTTGAGCTGCACCAATTGGATGTGAAAACGGCTTTCCTGAATGGAATTTTGGAGGAGGAGGTGTACGTCCAGCAACCACCGTATGTCCAGCAGGTGTACGTCCAGGAGGTGTACGTCCAGCAACCACGGCTCTGTCAGGCTTGTGTTGGCCTTAATTGCAGGTCATGTGTGGATTCTTTGAACAGTTGGCCGTTGTACCCGTTGGTTCGGAGGTGGCCCTGACTTTGCTGTTTGTCATGCTGGTCTTTGTCGTACGTGTCCCTGCTATCAGTGACCTGGGCGTGTGCGTCTGTATTTTTTCGGGCATTGTATAGGCGACATGTTCGGAAAATTAGGTGAAAGGTATATAGGCCTTTTAGCTCTACACCTATTTGCCGGGGTGGCAAGGTCTAAACCTCTTTTCCAAAAGCAATGAAATGAGTTCTGCAAGGTTATAATCTCTTCGGGGGCTTTTGCTTGATAGGTGCATTCCGATACGGCGGTGGCAGGAGGTGGCATCTACGTCGACTTGAAGGCAACCCTGAGACCAAGGGGATGAACTAACAGATATAAATTATGTTTCTTGGCTGCGCCAAGTATTTTCCTAGGCGAGAAGTTCATGGTCTGCTGCCGACCCAACCTCCGGTACGACAGTGCTAGACAAACGTAGCAGATGTTCATAAATGACTTTTATGTTTATGTTAATATTATTGCTATAGCGGCTATGGACCAGACGGGTGTAAGATGTGCGTAGGTCGACCAGAGGTCGGCAAACCCTGAATAACTGTCGCTGGTACTTGTGCCAGGGTCGAATAACTGTATCGAAATTGTTTTTTGTAAAAGCCGAGGAAAGAGTGTCTGCGGGCCGATGTACCAAAATTACTACGTTACACCATCGCTGTTAAAGCCACAGTTGTCTTGTTGCGCTCAATTACGGATAAGTTTGTTCATCAAGTGCGTCACTTAACTGCTCAAATCCGCATCAGAAGTCGTATGCGAGCACAACCTCCAACCGACCGCACGATTACCTCAGTGTTATCTGAGCAATCCGTCACTTCTACTCTGCATAACAACGATGCATATCTTCAGTGGCAAATGCCCTTGGTCAAGGTCGTCAATTGACTGTTCGTTATGAGAATCTCTCAAAGCTAGCGTTTACCTCCTTGTAAAATGGAAGGTTTGGTAACCTAATGATGAAGTTCATAGCTTCAAAACTACGCAAACCTGCCTTTTTCGGGGAATTTCTGCACCCTGCCGTACGGCTGCCGTACCAGCGATGAAGAATAGAATTGAATTTCTGCAACGGGTACAACGGAAGGACCCGCTGTACCAGCGCCATTTGCCGACCCCTGAGGTCGACGAAGAAGGAGAAAAACGCGAAGAGAACACGTGAATTCATATGCATAAGTCATGGACGGCGGCGTTTTACGCTCTGAATGGTGATTCCTGCTTACGTGTTCGGTTCTGGACCTCGCATGTTGTCGTACCGGAAAATTGTCTTACGGTACGGCGGTCACAGGAGGTATCTACGTCGACTTGTATGCAAACCAATTACGCCTAGGGATCATATGGCCAGGGTTGGTCCTCAACTTAAGTTGAGAATTTAAAGTTAGAAATTTAATGAAGAAACTCAATTAGAATTTAGGAGGTCATTTTCGCACTTTAGATGACGGTTATACCGTTATCTAATGTACGACACTAGAATCCTTTAGAAATCTTTAGATGTCCTTCTGGCGGCTCCCATACGTCGCCAATATAACAGGTGGATGACCCTATATCTATGTATTACGAATTACGAATTAGGGCTATAGCAAATGGCAAACGCAGACCCTGGTACAGGCCCGAGCGAGCCAAAACGCAAGGATGAAAAGACAGAATACACCTACGGTAATAAGAAGTATTCACCGCAAGCGTACTATGAGAAGCTTAAGGAACTTAAGCGCAGGCAGCAGGCCACTTGGTGGACGTTCATTAACGTGGTGCTGGTTGGCAATGCGGTGAGGCTTGTCTGCGTCTGCGGCAAGGAGTTCAGCGCCACCAATCCCTCAACCGTGGCACCTAAGCATGTCAGGGACGTACACATGTCCAGGCCGCAACCGCCTGGGCAAGCAGCGCACAGAGAAGCTGATCTACATACGGCAGAACGACAAGGAGCTGGGTGGCAGGAGTGTGCTGACGGAGGAGGTGGTGGTGTTGCAGCTGCTGAACTGGGAGGAGGAGTGAGGGGCTGGTCTGGAATGGAGGAGGCGGCATTTGGGTCTGCTGGCAGGCGCAAGGGAAATTGGACGGCGTCTGTAATTGTGACTTAATGAGGCGAAATAGGTTTAGGACTTTGGAGCTTAGGAGTGAACGGTGAACCTGTGATCGTGTTTCCTACTGTATGTCGTAAATGAATTCAGCCTTGTCCATTCTGTCTTGTCGCTTCAGGCAGGTCCAGGTGTCGTGGGACCCACGGGTCTGGGCGTGCCACACCATGTGTACGCAATTACTCAGCTATGCTGCTCCCGCAGTCCAAAATAATCCTTTATTTAGCATATATTCGCCCTAAATAACATTATTACAATATTTCAGGCGAAAAGATGAAGATCCTGAGAAGCAGGCATCACTTTAGTTGAGAATCTAATGTCATCTTAATTAGATCTAATTAGATTTAATTGAGAAGGGCATGCCTCCTAAACTCAGGCACAACCCTACGCATATGGGTTGCTCCCAAGTGATGATGGTCACAGGGCAGGTCCGCACCCCTTCCGGGGGGCGCAGGGGGCACCAGGGGCATGCCTGAGGTCTGCTTCCCGCCAGGCTGCGAAGTACGCCAGCGCTGCTGCTCAGAAAGCAAGTCCGGCTCTCCGCGGCTGCTGCAAAGCCACGCACGTACGCTTCCCGCACAGCGTGTGTTAACGTGGACTCTGGTCCGGGCTCTGGTTCTGGTTCCTCCTCGGCTGCACTGAAACCGTCAGCATCTTCCGATGCTTCTGTGTCGTCAGCATCTTCATGGTGAACCGGATGAAAATCTTCGACCTCATAGGCCGCGTCGTTATCAATTTTCACCGGCTCCTGTTGCGCATTGGCACTTGTGACAGCTATGTTTGTCGGAAGGCTCGGGGGCTGGGCATTTTGAAGCTGCTTTGCTCTAACCCGTCGCCTTTTATTCCTCTTTGCTTTGGCAATCCTCTTCTTAATGGGGTCCCCGACCTTCATGATCGATTGAAGCTGGTGAGGCAACCCTATTATTTGTATTCACCTAACCAACAGAGCCAATTTCGCTTACTAATTGTCTATCTCATGCAATGGGAAATTTCGTTTGAAGCATTGCTTTGCTGTAGGGCTGGGTAGTATATGCCGTACAAACTGGTCATGGTGCTGGGCCGTCGGGAAGGTCGCCGGGATTGCGGGAAATCGACAGCGCTAGGCGGCGCGAGTCACCCCTGGACCTTCCCTAACTCGTCGGGCGCGTCCGGTGAGGGCGCTTCAGCCACGGCGAAATGCTCCCCAGGGAAAATCGTTTGGGGAGATTCTCAGGGCCCCCAAGGGGATAGAGCCGTACGAACTGATGTACGACGTAAACTGAGCCACGACCTCCCCAACGGCAGAGGTTCCCACGGCTTGGGGACGCAGCCATAGCTGTACATGTCACTTATTATTTGTTTGAAGGACTTAGTATTCGGTACTAAGCGCTTCGAGTACCATTAGTATGTAACATGATATATATATATATAATCTACGAAGCGGCCTATTAAAAATGTTACCAAGTAGCTACGAAGGACATATGAAGTGGGTAGCACTAAGATAACATTAAGAAGATAATAACTGGTGGCGTTCCACGAGTGCTGGGAGACCATGTACACTGCGTTCAGGCATGTCGCCCCCAGGCGAGATGACATCCTTACATGGGACCACAACAATGATGTGTGTGATAGGGGGTTCACATCTTCACCCAGGGAAAGATTTGACTGTGGGAGACCGTTACCTATCCCCTAGCCCTCTCTACACTCATCTGGGAATCCTCATGGCTTAGGACAACATGATATAGCCAGCTGAATGGATGCACCTCTTCACGCGTTGCTGCCACACAGACCAAACTCCAAACTACCCAGTAAAGCTCTTAGGAAATCCCAAACTCCAGGCTTTATAAAACTTAAATCCTAATGAGAACACTTCAAAGCAGCTCCATGCTCAGGCATATGTTTTAGGTGGTGATGCGTGCAGCATGGCGACATGTCACATTGCGAGACCAACACCACATACCTTCATTTGTGCGATGGATCAAAAACGCCGCTGACACCACCGCGCCCAAATCCTCAACCAGATCGTCTAGGACCAGCCGAGCCATGCCATTCAGGTTACGCCAAAGCATGCTTGCTTTTCCCCATGCATGCCCCATTTAAGTGATACAACGATCATGTCGTCGATAGGCCTTTCCAACCGCTCATTGCCGCAACACCGCCCTTGGCTCCTTAGTAAAGAGATGGCGCTTGCAGTGAAGGGTGACGATGTTGTCATCCATGCTGCGCCCTTGCACAACAAGGCCTCCTGGAAAGAGGACCTTCAATCATGTTGTTCATATTTTAGACATGGTTGCACGTACCAAAAGGAAAGGGCATGCCCAAGAGCCGTTAGAACTGTAGAAATCTGGAGCAAAGGTACTAAAGGAATGGTCCTGATATAGCATAAAACCAAACCAAGCTCCGGCAAAGCGAATGGCGTGGGCTGGGAGAAGCCCCCTAGGACGTATGTGCGTGCATTATGATGTGTGAAATAGGGGGGTATGTCTCCACCCGTGGCCGCTACGCTGCGAAACCCTGCTTTCCCCGGTATGCCGGGGCACCCTCATCCAGTCACCCTAGTCAACTTCTCAGTGGATCGCTCAGGTTCCGCACCCACCACCAGCATCCAACGGAATCTGCCGGGTCGACAGCGGGTCGACAGCGGCCCAACTCCGTTCCTGGTCGGCTCGCAGGTTATCCCAGGTCACCACCGTCCATCAACTAGGGGCGCAATACCTTCCACCATCGGAAGGATTTTTGACCATGACAGGTCTCGATCCCGGTATCTCCCGGGGGCTCTGGTCGCATGTTATCAGTAGTGCCAGTAGTAGTAGTGCCTAACCTATATATCTGCAATGTGATGGCTCACCTCCTTCCGCCAGCATTGAGTGCGATGCCTCACCTTGAGCTTTCCAGATTTGCCGAAGGCGCCCTCAATGACTCCCTCCTCTCCTCGCCCAGAAACAACCTGCTTTAGGGCCCACCCGAAGGGAAGATACCCGACGACTGCAGTGTATGGGGATAATAATGGCTCTATTGTAGTTTCCCTCAGGAAAATGAGGGAATGTAGTGCGTTTGGCGCAAGCAGCTGGATAAACCCGCTTGGATACAGGGCTTTTGGAATCCTAGGCATCTTAGTCCTGCAGTGGCTTTTGGAATGTCCACTTTTTCCATGATAGTGCAGGTAAGCTTTTGTACCGCCCGAGTGAATTCGAGTCTGGGGTTGCTAGGCATGACCTGAATAGTGAGGCTTATACAGAACACCACTCATGAGTCATCAGGCCTCCTTAATGTACGTACCTTCAGCCCAACGAAAACCGCTAGGTCACTATTTCGCTTCGTGAGGTTGCACACAATAGCTGTAAAGCCGTCGGGTAGCAGGCGCTCCATGAAGCCCTTGCGCAACTTAATCTTGTACACCCGCAGCTGGGCCAACTCCTCCTGGCGGGTGGGGTCAACTAGAAACACCTGCCGTCCATAGAAAGCTAGCCTGTGCAGCGGAAACGCATTGAAAATCCGACAACAATGGAGTGAATGGTGAGGCATCACGCTATCGTGGACACCACGCACACCATGTCTCTGGCTGGGTCAAGCATTTCAAAATATGGAAGCTAGATCAAAAGCATCTGGTCTGGAGACGCTAATGCATGATATAAAATGGATTAGGGTCCGAACTAATCAAATGGGGGAGATTGCTCAGCGCCAAGATGTAGAGTCGCGGTCACAGTTTATGGACCAAGTTGGCACACTGGGACCCTCCTCCTTATCCTATAGTATGTTGTTACAGGGTGGTTAACTTCGCCAGCGGCCCCCTTTCCCGGGCAGTCCCTGCTCTCCCCTGCTAGAGGGGCGTCACCCCATCCGACTTCAGAATGTATTCGTTGGGTTCGGCAACTCACCACCAGCATCCAACCAAATCTAGCGGATCAACGGCACATCAACTTAGTTCCTCGTCAGCTCGCAAGTTGATTTTATCACGTCCTACATCGTCCATATGATGGGCGGCCACCTCCCATTTCATCACTCCTCAAACACCCGAGGAGCCGGCAGGCGGATTTGAACCCGGGTCGGCCGGGAGCAGAAGTCAGGCCTTAAACTCTGCCAGCCGCCTGCCTATAATAGCTGTCCGGTCCTGTCCGGCAAAGTTACAATCGCTGTGTGCAAGGCCGCCGTCAATAACTTGTGAACCTTCAAGCGCCACCCTGATCTTCCGAAATAACAGGTTCTCACGGTATTAGTTGAGCTGAAGTTCAACTTGAACTTGTTCAAGTTGAACTTCAACATGATAAGAGTCGATGTCACTGCGGGCCATGGTCATCCAGTTAGGCGTTTATGCTCATTAGGATTTTGCTCGCCAAAATGGATAATGGAAAATGTCAAACAGGTTTTCTTGGGTGTCGCAGCTGAGCGGTGATTTACGTTCGGTCATAATGGTTGGCTGACAGAGGCAATTTGTATGGTAAGGCCACTTAGAGACGCTTGGCGTTTGTCCCCCGCCCAAGAAGCACCAGTCTGGCTGCTCGGTGATGCTTTCCTCTGCCGCAGGGGTACATGCACGCAGTTGGTGGGGACCTGAACCCTCTGGAGGTGCTTCTAGGACCTCAACCCAAACAGAAACCAGGACTCGCACAATGGACAGTCCTGGCCATATAAGAGGCCAATTGTAAATACTGATTATGACATCAGGCTTAAAGTGTCTCGGACTCCACCGCACCTGAAGTGGATGTGGCGGAAATCCTTTGTCCCAAGAGCTGTGACAAGTACATTATGGTGTCCTTGAACAAGAAAAGCTTCATTTTAACTACAGTTGCAGGAATTGCATCTTCAGAAGGCCCCAGGCCTTAAACATGCTCCAACCTCTCAAGCTGGTAGCTAGGCCTCTGGTGCAGCCTAAGCTGGCAGCAGTGCAGGGTTCTTGACCCCGATTCGGGCCCGAACTTTTTTGAGATATTTCCATTTTGACCGAAAGGAAAATTAGTGCGCCCCGGAGCATTCCGAACAGATTTGGGGCCTTTTGGACCATTTCTTCGGGGGCCCCACCGAAG